GCGAGCGTCGACGGAGGCCTGGCGGAAGACCACACGGACATGAGCACGAGCAGCGCTGGGCTCCCACGGAGGCAGCAGCATTTCATCGAGCATCTTGACCGCGGCCGCGCCTGCTGCTCGCCGCCTCAACGCGCCCCGTCAGCGGGCTACACGGGGACGGGGCGGGCGCCCAGGACGCGGTGGCCGGCGGGCGTAGTAGACGCGTCCCGCCCGCGCCGCGCTGTCCAGGCCACAGCTGCGCCCTACCTCATCATGGCGTCCTCCACTGTCTCCTGCTCCTTCCCGACGACGGCGTCGCCGAGGCACCGCGCGAGGACGACGGTGTGAGCAACAAGGAGGAGGAGGAGGTTGCTGGTCGCTTGCCTTGTAGACGGGGCCGAAGCCGCCGTGGCCGAGCAGGTTGCCGTCGGAGAAGCCGGCGATGGCGGCCTCCAGCACCGGCAGATTGCTGAAGAGCGTCCACTGGTCGTCCTCCTCCTTGTTGCTCTCCCGACGACGAGGGCAAGGACGATCGAGCCCACAGCCGCGCCCATCCGCCCAGGCAGCGCCGCCCCCGCCCGCCCGCCCACACGCCATGGCCACACGCAGCGAGCTCCGACCCGGCCACGCCACAGCCACACGCCGGCAGACGAGCTGCCACGGCTCCGGCATGCCACGGGGGCGGAGTCGGGCGCCCGTCCATGCCGCGGCGCCATGCAGTCCAAGCAAAGCCTTCCACCTGAAGAAAGCAACACAGCCGCGAGAGCGCAAGCCAGAGCACAGCGGGGGAGGCGACCTGGCGGAGGGGGCAAGCGTGAGCCAGAGCAAGGCGGGGGAGGCGACCTGGCGAAGCAGAGGAGGGCGTGAGCCGGTGGGGGAGGCTGCAGGGGCGGAGGCGAGCGCGCGGGCGGAGCAGGCGGGGCGGCGAGCTCGGCGGGGTGGGATGGAAAAGGCGGGGCTGGGCGAGGGAAAGATTCCCACATGCACGGGTGGGCCTAGCAGGAAAAAGAGGAGAGAGAGTGAGGAGAGAGGCCGACATGTGGGGGTTTTGCATGCAAAAAGGAGCGCCGGCGCCCCCAAGTGCCTCCCGGCTTTTTGGGTTTGGATCGGGACCGCCGGACGTAACTTCGGCCAAATCCGGCGCTATTTGAGCTCTTGGGTTCCCGGATGGGAGAACAATTAAGCGTCGGCATCCAAAAAGTGCTCGTGGGGGGCATCCTGGGGGGCCGGCTGGAGATGCCCTAACAACATCTCTGGGTACACATGCAAGCTTAAATAATCCACAAACTTCATCCACATATATTAGGTGCTCATCAGGATGCGTTGTTCCGTCTCGTGCAAAAGGATTAGCTAGCAGTTTTTCTATCATACACAAAGGAATTTCAAAGCAGACATTTTCATTTTCAGTAGGTTGAGGAGCAACTCTTTGCTCTACTGGTCGGGGTGAAGATACCCCAAACAAGCCCCTCAGAGGATTACTTTCCATAGTAACAAGTGACAGTAAATTTCAGCACACTATATAAATTTTCCTTACCAAATCCCACCTACCAAAGGCGCTTCACTCCCCGGCAACGGCGCCAGAAAAGAGTCTTGATGACCCACAAGTATAGGGGATATATCGTAGTCCTTTCGATAAGTAAGAGTGTCGAACCCAACGAGGAACAGAAGGAAATGATAAGCGGTTTCCAGCAAGGTATTCTCTGCAAGTACTGAAATAAGTGGTAACAGATAGTTTTGTGATAGGATAATTTGTAACGAGCATCAAGTAACAAAAGTAAATAAAGTGCAACAAGGTGGCCCAATCCTTTTTGTAGCAAAGGACAAGCCTGGACAAACTCTTATATAGAGAAAAGCGCTCCTGATGACACATGGGAATATCGTCAAGCTTGTTTTCATCACGTTCATATGATTCGCGTTCGGTACTTTGATAATTTGGTATGTGGGTGAACCGGTGCTTGGGTGCTGTCCTTACTTGGACAAGCATCCCACTTATGATTAACCTCTATTGCAAGCATCCGCAACTACAACAAAAGTATTAAGGTAAACCTAATCATAGCATGAAACATATGGATCCAAATCAGCCCCTTACGAAGCAACGCATAAACTAGGGTTTAAGCTTCTGTCACTCTAGCAACCCATCATCTACTTATTACTTCCCAATGCCTTCCTCTAGGCCCAAATAATGGTGAAGTGTTATGTAGTCGACGTTCACATAACACCACTAGAGGAGAGACAACATACATCTCATCAAAATATCGGACAAATACCAAATTCACATGACTACTAATAGCAAGACTTCTCCCATGTCCTCAGGAACAAACGTAATTACTCACAAAGCATATTCATGTTCATAATCAGAGGGGTATTAATATGCATATAGGATCTGAACATATGATCTTCCACCAAATAAACCAACTAGCATCAACTACAAGGAGTAATTAACACTACTAGCAACCTACTAGTACCAATCCCAGACTTGGAGACAAGAATTGGATACAAGAGATGAACTAGGGTTTTGAGAGGAGATGGTGCTGATGAACATGTTGATAGAGATTTCCCTCTCCCGATGAGAGGAGTGTTGGTATGACGATGGCGATGATTTCCCACTCCCGGAGGGAAGTTTCCCCGGCAAAACAGCTCCGCCAGAGCCCTAGATTGGTTCTGCCAAGGTTCCGCCTCGTGGCGGCGGAGTTTCGTCCGAGGAGATGGCTTATTATTTTCTTCTCATCGAAAGACTCCATATAGCAGAAGATGGCCATCGGAGGGCCACCATCGGTGGCTATGGGCTGCCCTAGGTCGACCTAATCGCAATTAGGGCCTCGAGGTTCGCAACCCTGTAACAAGAAGAATGAACGGAGAAAAGGTGGTAGATAGGTTTTGCAATTGTGTGTTGTTCAATCAGTCTTCACCCTTAGGTATATAAGACGCAGCTAGACTTCATGTGCAAGGAAAATGTTTGGATTCACGTCAAAAACCCTAGTTTGAGTCCAATTTGGATGGTTTGGTCCGAATTTTCTAAAATTGTTCGGTTCAAAACTGGCTGCACCTTGCAAGTCATTCTTAGGCAGTAAACGACCTCGTATGGAGACATGCCCAAAAGCAATTTTGACTGTTTCAACGAGACGAATAATTGTCATGTTGAACGTTTTTCAATCCGAGGCCATCTTCACAGCCAAATCACTACCGCAAAATAGTTAATAACTCATGCTACCCATTAGACATAGTCATATGAGTGTGACCTTGTGTTTTCATTTTTAGTTTCATGAAAATTTCAGCACCAACCAAAATCACCGAATTTCAGTGATTTCCGTTGGCATTTCGGCTAAAGGGCTGAAATATCCACTTGAATTCAACTAAATATTTTGAATTTTCAAAAAATATTTGAATTCCTGTGTATTACTAAAATTGCTGAAATATTTTGGCGGAAAGATAAATATTTTAGTGTCTACTAACATTACTGAAATTCAGTGAATTTCATCAAAATCTCACTGAAAGTGAAAACCACTTGGACGTCATTTTTTACTCATAGTAGGGTCGCACTGTGCAGGCTCTGAATTTTGCATACGACTTCGTATTAAGATGATTTTTATATCAAAATCGACCATTTCAACGAGACGAAAACAACCCATGTAGATGATTTTCTCATATGAGGCCGTTTTGGAGGCGTAATAGGCCGAATGGTACTCTGAATACAAAATCTTAGTATTTCGAGTATAACTTCGGCCCTCGAGATGAGTTCAGATGACAATGACCCAAACTTTAAATATGTTCATGTTGCCAATATGAAACTTCATGTAGAGCGCCTCTTCATTTGATGCCATCTTAATAATCTTTTCTTTGGTGCCAAATCTGATGTCAACAGGTAGATGAGCTGAGCGTGGTGATAACCTTCAGACCCGCCACTAAAGGAGGCAGAGACGCTCCACAGGATGTAACCAGATCCGCCGTCCACTCGCCGCCCGCCTCCCATCAAAGCCGGATCCGAGAGACCAACCTCACCTGTTTCCTGCCGACATTCATCCAGCCCGACTGGTGCAACTCTACCACACTCCGCAACCCAAATCCCTCCGTCAATTGGTGCCCACGGCCGAGACAAGCACACTACACAGGTCCCCCGTGGCCAGATCCAAGTGGAACTCCGACAGGGGCAGGTCAAAGGCGCCAGATCTAATGGCCATCGGCACCACCGTGAAGGCGCTGGACAGGGTTGAGCTTCAGGTGTAAATTGGAGTCAAAATATGAGAAGGGTTGGCTTGATTGCCTAGATGAGGATGGAAGGTTTTTTTCCTCTCTCTCCTTTATTTTGCACTGATCTGAATAGTGCAAATTATATTTCAGTTTGAGATCTGGAAATTACTTCTTGATTGCAACTTGTGGCCTAATTAGTGTTATCCTCACATAATTATCTCTTTGTTGCATTTTTGTGGTTACCTAGCACCAGTGCTTCGTAGAAGAAATAAATTTAATAATGGATACTCCTATATTTTACTTATTGCTTTCCACCTATATTACTCCCTCTGTTTAAGACCTTGAAGACATTTCAGACAATGTGCAAAACAATCTATATTGAGTTGTTTGAAAGGACTTACAAAAGTGAACGGAGGGAGTAGCATATTTCATTTCACTACAATCTCCTCTAACCTGTAAGCAGGCTGAACAGCCATGCCTTTCCTTGCTAATTTAAGTAATTGACAACAAAGTATAGAATCAAAAAAACTATAATGACCCTTGTTGTTAAGCTAAAGATTATAAACCGTTGGACATTTATCAGCTTGACATCCCGAATACGTTGGCACGATGCACATGAGCAGAGTTTAAGGTCCTGACTATCGAAAGTTCAGATTATATATTATTGCCAAGGAGCTCCAAAAGTACCATATGGTAGCAATCAAAGATTGTTCTTCCACATAACATCCATTAAATCTACTAGCAGCTAAAACCAAAAGCGCCATTCAGTTCCATGTAGCATTTGATAAAGTTCCAGTCACTAATAACGGACGATGGGCAAACCGCGGGACGACTCAGCAGAAGAACATGGACGATGCCACATTGGGATGCAGAAAAGGCAGCTCCGGCACCGGCGCAGCCTCAGCTTGGGATGACGTCTCCGACATGCCGTCATCGAGCTTGGTGAACTTGGCCACATGCGCCGCGGCAAGGTGTGCATAGTAGATGGGAGCAACTGAGAGAGAGAGCGAAAATCAGATGATCAGCCATGAGTAAATTGCAGAAAACCACCACAATTGGGAACCCTAATTCACAAAACCAGCATCTTTCGTTTTTTTTTCAAAAACCCACCGCCGTTGTACTGACAGTTTTCAGAAACGCTAATCGCTCAATTAAAACTGTTTAAGTGAAAATCTGACCAGTGGGTCCTGATGACATGTCCACGTGACGGAGGATAGACGGCACAACTGGTCAACCCCGTCCCCGTCGCCAGCCAGGCTGCCGGCCGACGAGCCTCCCAGCACCGCTAGCTCCTGCGCCACGCAGCAGCACGCTCGGCCGCTTGCCATGTCCTCCGGCCACAAGCTGAATATGGATGCAGGACATGCCCAAAAGCTCCTGTTCCTGTACGGGCCTCAGGCCGACGAAGCAGCCGTCGCCGGACTGCAGGAGGCCGCCGGGAGCAGACCACGACAGGGGTGAGACGAAGAGGTTCTCAGGGGAATAGAAGGAGCTCCTGGAGCCTGCGCATGCTACTGGAGTACAGGACTAGGCAGGGAAGCACGACCTACTTGAGTTCGTCGGCCATGGCGGTGGTCGTGCTCGGAGCTCTTGGGGGATGGCGCTACAGCGCGAAATAGAGCAGAGAAGATGGGGGGAAACTGAGATCAGCTCACTTCGATGCGGTGGGAGAGCTCAGTGGGTACTGGGAAGGCTTGGAGGCGGCGAATTGACGGCGAGGAGCGGCCGGTGCAAGCAGCGGAGAAAAGCTCGATTCGGTCGTCTCCGGGCGTCCCTGCTCGAATCCGTCGGCGAGGGATATCAGCACGAGGAGGCGGAGCTCATGGACATGGTCTGGCGGCGATTCGTTAGCGGTGGCTACGCGGTAGCAAGGCAGTGCTCTCCGGGGGCGTCCTACCGCACCATGCCGCTCGGCTCGGCCACGACTACCCACCTCGCCGGCTGTGGCAAGCCACCTCCAGCTCGTCCCCGCGCGCTTCCCCTCCTCCTCATGTATCCTGCTCCACGCTCCGCTCGCCGCCGGCTACGGACGGAGCCGCGCGCATGACCCGGCTGTGCCACGACCAGCCACCTTGCCGGCTACGGCCATGGCTGCGCCGCCACCTCGCGCCGTGTCCGACGCCATCAGTCGGCGAGGACTCCGCACCGATGCCAGCTTTGCCCGAACCCCTGGATGAGCAGCTCGAGCTCCGTGATGGAGACGACGACGGCGGCGCACGGGAGGTGTTTGTAAGAATGCTTGAAAAAAGAGGAAGGAGCAAGCACACTGATGGGTGGGTCCTACGTCTAACTTAACATGGAGCGAAACTTTCTAACGGCATGTAACGAGCACCGTCTTTACCCGGGCCACGTGGCACCTGTCATTGGGACCCACTAGTCAGATTTTCACTCAAACAACTCTAATTGCTTGTTCAGTGTTTTATGAAAACTGTCAGCACAATGGTGGTGGTTTTTTGAAAAAAAAACGAAAGATGGTTGTTTTATGAATTAGGGTCCCCAATTGTGGTGGTTTTTTGCAATTTACTCGATCAGCCATGCATGCCGTTTTGACTGATAAGTTGTTGCGAGATCAATCAAGTAATGGCAAATCATGCTTACTTACCTACTGAGATGGCTGTGGTGCTCCTCTGATACCTGAAACGAGTACACAAGCATCAAAATGTCACAAAGAGTGCAACGATGATCATCGACCAGAGGCAAATTAAGGTAACAACTGAATCTTTTGTAACTGTTTCAGTGCACATACGTGTAGGACAGGGAGTGCACGAGCTCCTGCAGATCGTCAGTAGAGAAGCCTATCTCATCATGGAGCACATGGTAGTGTGTTGGCCTTGTAGTCCCCTGGAATTAACACACGAGCATAGAGGACTGACTTAATTAGATTCAAATAAGCATTTGCAAAGCAGTGAATTACAATCACAACTCACACAAGGTATAGAGAGAACATACGATAATGCCAGCATGAGCACACATGTAGAAATCATAGTTCCTGGGATGGCAGATTACTCCATCAACCACAGTACCTAAACAAGGGGAAAGTAGGACTATGATAAGAATGTATGTGTACAAAAAGCATAGAAATTGAGCTTGTTTGATCCATACAAAATTGCAAATAATAGTTCTCTGGTAGCTAGGTGTGTAGAGATTCTTATTAAGTGCTTTTGATTTCGTGTGAATGCGTATATACAAACGGAACAAGCTAGCAGTCCCGATGATTGCCGTCCTCCACTAAAATTGAAAGATTGAAAATTCAGAATTTTTTTTGAAAGAATGTAAAGGTACTTGGATAAAAGATATAGGTTACCAGGGGGAACATTATTCACTCCATTCCGCAAGAAAAATCTTGTGTGATGATTCTTCTGTGCAACTATCACTGTGAACTTGGGGAACCAGTTGCCACCAAAATGCTTGTCGCCAAAAAACTTGCATGCCTGTAGTATCAATTAGAATTACATCATTACATCAAGAACCGGCGCATGAGGAAGAATTAGATGTCATTTATGTTACCTCCATGATCTGGCCTAGCTCATCATTCAACACCTGATCGAACTGGCTCTCACTAACCCCATCCCTAATATCAAGACAACAAAACTCCTTAGCCAGCATCAGGGTGCCAAAGTAAACTTATTGAAGACGTCAAGTATTAGAGTCAGTTTGTACTCTTAGGACTATGAATAAAATGTGGGGAGTGTTCTGAGGGACAACACACAATTAATAAACCAATTTCTACACGACAGTTATGATTATTTTCAAAAAAGAAAAGTTATGATGCTGAAGTACAAAGTACACTATCAGTTAGCGTTTGCACACATTATCCCAGGAGGACAACTGACCTGAAAATGATAATTTGTTCCGGCTTCGGTTTATTGTTTTTTCCGAGGAAGGCAACTAGTGAATCCCTGAAATGTTATACCCCAGTGAGCAAAAAGAAGAAAAAGAAAAGCATACGGTTAGGAAGCACTGTTATTAACATTGTTTAAATTTCACTTATCTAAAACCTATGCAGCAGAGACTCACTTAATGAGGCCATGATCAGTATCTCCATCTTGCTTAAACAAGGTTTTGATCATTTCCTGCCTGGGTGGCAGAGTGCACACAGAAGCTCTGTATTTTGAGATGATTGGCCACTCCAATGAACTAACAACCTAGGTAAAAGCCAAAAATACCAGGGTGAGTCAGCAAATTATCGGTTGGAAAATCTCTCAAGGACTATCAGCTGACACCTAAGTTTCTTACTGCAGGAAACTGAAAACAGAAGCATGATATGTTACTTACTGCAGCAACCGATGGCACGTCACGTCCTGGTGAACCATGGGAAACATCCATACCAAAGATGATGGTTGGAATCCTCGACACGTGAGGAATAGCATGGGTTATTTCCTTTTTCAGCAATGAATTTAACCCGCCAAGCTGTTTGGCAGGACAAATTTAATAAAAGCAAAGCATTCAGTTTTCAGCTAACAAATCCAAAGTACATTGAAGATGGCAATGCAAATCACACTCCAAACCTTGGCATTTATCTTTAGCAGCACATTTGTGAGGTACTGATCTTTGACGTTGGGAGGAGGAACCAAGCATTGTGTAACAATGCCACGTTGTGCAAGGCATTCACGCTTCCATGGTCCTGATAAGAACAAGAAACGTTTGGATGGCAGGTAGAAGCATAATGAAGCTTACTTACAAGGCTGAGTTAGCAGAGCATACCATATATGTCAGAGTTCTTCTCAGGAAGAAAACACAGGAGAAACTCTGGATTATTTCCTCCGAATGCTATATTTACCTGCCGAAACATATCCTCCACCCTTTTTGCCGGAGATTGATGTTTCATTTTATGAATCTCCTGAATTACAGCGCTATATTTCTCCATACTCTGCAAATCAAACTGGCTAAGACATTTGAAAAGGCTCAATATCAGGTGAAGCAGTGAACTTACGATTCCCTTCTCGCTACCGGATTGGAGAGGGTGCTCGACAAGATGTTCAACATCACGTCGTGTAGAAAAATCAACAACTCCCCATGGCCAGGTCTTCTTAAAGTCAATCGGCCGAAAAAACCTCTGAAGAATTGAACCAGGAAAGTTACCGCATCGACGCGAAAACAAAGAGTTTACGGTGCACATGTGTGGAGTTTAATCAACAGAACAGGTATGCTCGATTGCTCACATTTTTATTGAAATTCCACCTCCCATTAGGTGTATATAGTTGTCTACCATCTGCAGCGCTTAACTGCACATTACGATATTTAATTAGATGCAAAGCAGAAAAGGGCATGCGCACAGTACGCATTCAAAAACAGCCAGTCAAAAGAACAGGTAGGGCTCTGCCAACCTGTGGTGCCTCAAGGACTCTACCCTGAACCTGGGTAAAGTCTGGAACTATTGATATGCCGCATTCCTTCATCATTGGCTCGGAATCATAATTATTGGCACGCAACTCCTATCATGATAGGTAAACAAAATTGAGAATTTATTTTTTGTCTTTTCGATGTTTTTAGGAGATGTTGTGAACGTATCTACCGCAGTTTAGCTGAATTCAGGGTATCAGTGTAACTTACACCATACAACTTCGACATCCTCTGATCCGGCCTCTGCCTGGATGCCTCCACCAGCTTTGACCTTTGCGACGTGGACAAAGACCTTTTATACCTTTGCAATGGCACTAGGCGGCAAACCTGTTGCAAACATGGAAATGAGCACACAAAAAAAGAAGACATATCTACCAAAAGACTGATTCAAAACAAGAATAGGAAGCGAGGGACGGACCTCCAGCGGGAGGTATGTTGGGCGGTTTGGCTTCCCCACATTTAGACATGGCATATGAGCAGACTTCTCCAGCTTCATCGACCAACGGTCCATGAAGTAATCATAGACAGTTACATCCACAGTACCGTTGCCATCTTTTTGCTTTAGTGGGAACCTAGATCAAGAATTTATATATGAATTATATTGAAATGAGAGCAGCTGAGGCATGTGCCCTGAGCTCGCATATCATGATTCAAATCAAGAGTAACATCTTACGTCTGGTTATAGCAACTGTTTTCGGACAATCCGACAATCCTAAATTCCGCCTTCGTGTGAGTGGTTTCAATCCTTAATTTATTCAGTGCCCGTTTAGCCTAAAATTATGTCATGGACGACCAAGATTAGAGCAGGGAAACATTGTAGTGTAGAAATGAACAATTTTTGATGGGCTAAGAATATATTAATAAGAAATCACTAAGTTTCAGCTTACTTTGCCCCAGTCAATGCTAGAAGTGTCCTTGACACCCTGGTTGGAGAGCAGAAATGCAATCACAGGCCCAGGTTCCACTACCATAGTGGTGGACAAATCTGCAAAAATTCAAAAATCCATATATCATGCACCATCAATGTTGTAAAAAAACATTTTACCACGAACCTAGTGCAAATTAGGCCTCTAGCTAGGCTATAAACATACCACAATTGAGTAAAAGCCCACTTTGAGTGGGTCGAATGCTAGAATGAAAACCCTGACAACCTAGAACACCGCCACCCAACTTGATGCAATCGGAATCTCTACGGAAAAAAGACTGTCGGACTAAGAGGCGATTCCTGCATGCAGCCAGCCAACAAGAAATCTGAGTATAATAAGAACCTAAGAACGAGTGACTAATCATAGAGTTTGCAACATTAGATAAAAGATAGACGAAGTTGTTCATAAATAAACACAACAACATACTGTCTTGCAGCGTGCTGCCTCAGAATGATGTCAAGAACCCGAAGAACCTCCTGCGAGTTCTCAGATTCCTGACCGCCACCAAGGACGAGGGCAATGGCACTGATCGGAACCTTTGCTGTGAAGGTGATATCCACCTTGAACCTTTTGCTCTGTCCTGCCTGTTTCATTCTTTTCTTGTCGCTTGGTCCTGGACTGCCATCTGCTCCCGGGCTCTGGCTCGTTGCAATCCTGCAGGTAAATGGCAAGACAATTCCCCCAACCAACAAGAGAATAAGAGATCGACGAGCTCAAGAACAGATAAGCTTTCCCTGGTGAGAAATGGGTGATGGATTGGAGCTGATGAATGCCTTACTTTCTGGACAAAGCATCGCCATCTATGACAACGTCAAAATCATTGGTGGCAAATGGGAGAGGCCCAGAGGTGAAGAGGCTTTTGTCGCCATCGTAGGCGAATTGCTTGCCATCAAGCAAAGAGGCATAGGTCTCGTGCAGCTGCTTCATCACCTTTCTGCATACTCCTTGCCCGATTACCGGATGATCGTCTTCATACTTGAGATCCACCTGCGGTCGATACGATCCAACAAAATTGAAAACCAACTGTCAGAATGTAGCCATGCATGGAAATTAATTTCAAGAACTGGAATGGTGATGGACTAGCTATGTAATGTAGGTAGGACGAGGCATGTTCTCCTACATTGTAGTGGTAAAAGAAGTCATGTGTTGGATTCCCAGAGACTTTGAAGTGGTTCGTGAGTAGCTGTATGGTCTGCCCTCTCTTGCCAGAGTATTTAACCAAAAACTACCATATTTCATGGAAACGTGTCCAGAAACTACCACTTTACGAATTTGTGCCGAAAACTACCACTTTTTTGTTAATCTATGACTAAAAACTACCATGTCGGGGAAGTGCCCGATTCGCCTCTTCTAAACGCCTTTCTGACAGGATGAGCCCACAAGTCGGGTTGACCGTTAACTTTGACCGTTATTACAAATAGGACCCACACGTTAACCCTCTTCTTCCTCCTCTCTCCCTCTCTTTGGCATTTCTACAAACACCTTGTGTGCACCTGCAGTTTGCCCGAGATCCTGACCGACGCGCCCTTCTCGAGCGAGCCGAGCGCGTGGCTCTGGATGCTGCTGCCGTCCCCGGCCTACTCCTCGAGCAGGTCTCCGACCAGGGCGCTGGCGGGGGAGGGCCAAGGTCGTCCTCGGCGTCGGCCCAGACGACGTCCTCGGCCTCGGTCGAAGCTAGCGTGCGCCATGGAGTTGCCGCTGAAAGCCGTCCAGTTCTGCCCGCCCTCCAGCATCACGTCCACCTCTGGCACTGAGTGCCCCGTCTGCGACGATAGCCGATAGCAGCTTCGTGGAGTCGTAGCAGAGATCGAACGGCGCCACCGCCGGCGTGACCCTCCTCGCGCTCCTGCCCATGGCGCGGTCGAAGGCCGCGATCAAGGGGCGGTACACGTCGTGGCGAAGCTCCGTGTAGTGGACCGTGGAGAAGCCGACGATGGGCGCACCGGCGCTCGCGAATGCCACACGCGCTCCGTCCATGGCGATGCCATTGCTGGCCGAGACGTAGTAGCCGGGGTCTTCGGCGAACGGGCGGCGCAGCGGGACCCCCTCGGACAGGAGCATCGTGACTGCCGGCCAGTCAGCCCGGGGAGCGAGGAAGAAAGGGCCGCCGCTGAAGATTGCCGCGCCCGCGCGGTCGCCATCGCCTGGGAGGCACAACGCGAACGAGCTGGCGACCCTCTGCGCGCTCGCGACCTGCGCCAGGAACGAGCGGGCGGAGCGTGCGAGCCCTGCGACGCCGACAGCGCCGCAGGAGGCAGCGACAGAGAAGAAGACCGGGAACAGCGGGCAGACAGCGTCACGCGCGTGGTCTGGCCGTGGTCGGCGCTGCACGGCGACGTGACGACCGGGGCTGAGAGGTCGAGGACGACCGCGGCCGGCGTTGAGGGCCGCCACACACACGGGGTGTTTGTGGAAATGCCAAAGAAAAGGAGAGAGGAGGAAGAAGAGGGTTAACGTGTGGGTCTCATTTGTAATAACGGTCAAAGTTAACAGTCAACCTGACTTGTGGGCCCATCTTGTTAGAAAGGCGTTTAGAAGAGGCGAATCGGGCACTTTCCCGACATGGTAGTTTTTAGTCACAGATTAGCAAAAAAGTGGTAGTTTTCGGCACAAATTCGTAAAGTGATAGTTTTTGGACACGTTTTCATGAAATGTGGTAGTTTTTAGTTAAATACTCCTCTTGCCAAGCTCACGTGGCCTCGTGATAGGAAGCCTCCGAGGCGTGGCCGTCTTATCGCCCTTTTCAGTGTGGGACATTGGTGACTTGCTGGGTCCGCCATGGGACTTGCTTGGATTTGGATCACCCTTGCTACTCATCTACAAAGAAAAACACAGCAAGGAAATCTGACCAAACAAGGCTATATATATTAAGTTGGGCAGGGAATTAACCAGGCATTAATTGTTTCATTCTTTTTTCAAGCACAAGCACTACCTGTGTGCAGCGCTCCACGATTAATTAGTTCCATATGTGTTTTTCATATATTTTTTCCATGAATTCAATTAATTATATGAAGCACACTGATAATGGGAACAATCCAACTTGTGTGGCATGAAAATGATTTTTGCTATGATGCATGCATGGTATGCTTCCCACAAAGAAATTAAGGAGAAATTAAGTTAGGGGCACTGCTTGTATCTTAACTCCGATCCAGGTGAGATCTAGATCGAGCATAGAAAAAGTATGGACACAATAATACTAATAATCAGGAATCTGGAAATTATTACGAAACAAGGAAACGATTGATTAGTACAACATCACCATACTTTGCACTGAGAAGAAAAGAAAAGAAAAGAAGAAAAAACGCATCACCAAACCAGCCTAAAAACCCTCGTGCACAAAAGAAACCGGCAAGCAAGCACTAGCGAATAAACTGTTTCATCATCACTCAGAAAATTAAAGCCCGAGCCCTAACTTTGTATGACGGGCGAACCATGAAGAAGATGAACTAATGCAGCGGCAGAAACCACACGATCGGTCGATTCCGCTGTGGGGAGAAACCTCGAGAACCGCCGATCGATCTAGCGAATGTCTTATCCCTACCAGCGGTGACTAGGATGGATCTACGAGCCGTCGATCGGCTGGCAAGGAAACAGAGAGAAATGAAACAAACTATACGAAGCAAACTAATAATAATGGGAATAACACAATTTGTGTCGCATGCATGAAGATGATTTATGATGCATGCATCATCGTATGTTTCCCGGAAAGAAAAGAGAAATCAGGCTAGGGGTTCTGCTTGTAACTCCGATCCAGGTGAGATTTGGAGCAAGCAAAGAAAAAGTTTGGGCATAATAATAATAATAATAATAATAATAATAATAATAATAATAATAATAATAATAATAATAATAATAATAATAATAATAATAATAATCAGGAATCTGGAAACTAAGGAACAAGGAAATGACTGATTAGTACTACAACATCACCATGCACTTTGCAGTTTGCACTTTGCACTAATAAGAAGAAAAGAAAAGGAGAACCCTAAAAAAAGGTATCACCAAACCAGCCTGAAAACCCTCGTGCGCAAAAAGAAACCGGCAAGCAAAGAGCAGCAGCGACTGTTTCATGATTCATCATCACCCACAAAGCTGCAAGCCCATGAAGAAGGTGAACTAATGGAGCGGCAGAGACCACGCGATCGATGGATCGGTCGGTCGATTCCGCCGCAGGGAAAGCCACCCATCGATCTACCTACCGGCGGCTTGGTTGGACGGATCTACGTACGATACGAACCCTCGATCGGCCGGCCGGCGAGGAAACAGAGAGGAATGGAACAACACAGCGCAGCAACCCGGAGGCTCGGGAAGATGGGTTAGGGAGGAATCCAGGAGTGAACGCGGAGGGAGGGTCCGTAGATAGGTATGCTCACCTTGGCCGGCCGGCCGAAATCATTTTTGGGCTTGCTGGCTGGCTTCTCTTCTCTTCTCTTCTCTTCTCTTTGGCTTGCTGGCTGGCTGGCTTCTCACAGTCACTTTTCTCTCCCTCGTATTTATGGGCGGCAGCTTACGTCCAATCCAATTCCAATCCGAGCAGAAAAAGAACGGAAAACCAGCCCCCTTCCTTGGCCCTCCTCACCGTGGACCGACCGACTGACTGTGACCAAGCGGGCGAGCGACCTCATTTCGTCTCGCTGCGATGTGGGCCTCAGCGTAACGGGGCCCATGTGTCGGCCCCAGTACATGTATGCACGCATCTGGACGGTTCTCTCTCTGATATAGTGCTCTCTCCACTTGTTACATCTGCTTCCTCTAACTCGGGCCTCTTTTGATTCATAGGATAGGATTATCATAGAAACTAGCGGTGTGTCCCGCGCATTAGCGCGGCTAGTATTCCATAAGGTTTCTTTAGTCATTTAGTTCTACTCTTGCTTCTAGCATTTACTATATTTTATTCCTCCCTACTTCATCCGAGAAAGTGGCTCCTTATAAATGTTTTAAAATTACTTCTCTAAATTGATCTTATTATGGTATATCATTGGCAATGGCAAGGCATACATCCCGAATTCAAGGTCATTCTTAAGCATGTTATTGACCCAAGTGAGGATCCATTCATTAACTGCCTTTGTGGTATAAATCTAACTGGCTATTTTGCCAAGAAACAATGGGATTACACCAACTACGTGTATGTATATTGATTTTTTTGTGAAAGAAAGTAGTACAGACGAAGAGGAAATAACTAAGAAGCCCCCTAAGAATGATCTATATGAACCTCTCTGATCATTGCCTCTAGACATGTACCTGGCCTAACCCTTCCTTGCTAAATTACTTGCAAAATGACTAAAGAAACCTTATATTGACTCTAGACATCATATATTGACTCGCTTTATGACATCAACAGTTCCATGATCATCATTCTAAGTGTATTCAACGAATTTATCGAATATAGCCAAGTTTTATAAACAAAATGAAAATAAAAAAATGCACAATCTCAATGTAAGATCCTAGGAATATAGGATCAACTAAGACATAAGCAAGTCTCAATCGACTGAGATCTAGCAAGACTGGTCTCTTTTCCTTCACCAAAAAATCCATTCCATAAGAATCTCAACATGAACGAAAATGCCATTTTTTTTCTTTTAGATATGCAATGCACTCACGCACGCTCTATTTTTACTCTCTGTACCAACCCTCTAAAATTCACGTGTTTATTTCATGTGCACTATCCAAAGTTATCTTTTATGAAACTTATGCATTATATCCTAATTCTAGGCGCGTGGGTGGCATTAAATTTCTGGCGTTACATATTTGTAAATTTTGTAATTCTTTATATTTCAAAGAGGGTCATATTTTTCTAACAGTGACATGCAATTTTTTATTCGATCTTTCATTCTCAAAGAACTCTAGCAAAAATAAAGCTATATTCAAAGTTTTTTTTTTCATATCGAGAGCATAAACTTTTGTATGTTTTGGCCCAATTGAAAAAA